ATAGTTTCACTCTTTGGACCTTTAGATAATATCCAATAGTCCTACCATTAAGCACTGGATTATGTACCCTTGTATATGAACTCTTACTCATGGTGACTAAAATGGCAGTCAAATCTGAGTTTGACTGGTGCCAGTTAGTCAATGTGTTCATTATATAATCACTTCTTGCTTTTCTAAACTCTAAATCTCCAGGATTGTCCAGAAGTTCTAACTGGTGCCAGTTAGAACACAAACCACTAACTGGCACCTTAGTCAGTTTTTGCATCTATAAAATCCAGACATATAGTGACGTTCAAAAAGAGGATGCAGTTAGACACACTGCAATGCAGATCCTTCAAAGTCATTGTAATCTATTTTTGTAGGGCATAGAGACAACAGCAGCAGAGCATGGCTTCATGCTAGTTTTAGATGAATAGGAATTGAACGGTATAAAACAACTAGCTTCCAACAGTGTCCCCATGTGGTCATAATAGAAATAGCACCCTCAGAAAATAGACGAATGTCAGAAATGATTTAATTCTTTCTCCTGAGGTTTGTTGACAGGACTATTTGGCCCACAGAAATCTGTGCCTAGGATTCTTGAGTGATTTGATATAGTTATACCTCAAAAAAGAGATGATAGATTCTGCCTATTTGAATACAGGGCTTGAGTGATTGCTTTAAACATTGAAAGATGATGATCTTATTTAGGTTACATCTATATCTATATTATGCATAAGTCAACTTTGTTTTACCGGTTCTTACATATAAAGACACAATATAATCACAAAAGGCACTTTGACAATTTTATTCATAGTTTTAAATCATGACCAACTCTAAGATGGAATTTTATTGAATGGTTGGGATTGACATGCTGTCACCCACCCTACAATTCCTGAAAGATTTCCAGGTATGAATTTTTGGAGAGTCCTGGAGATTTAGAGTTTAGAAAAACAAGAAGAAGTGATTATATAATGAACACATTGAATATATTAAACAACTGATTGTCAGATGACAGGTGATGAATATATATATTTCATAAATTTTATTTCATGGTTTCCATACTCTACTCAAAAAGATTTCATAAAAGAAGTTATGATTTTAAAATAAATTTTTTACTTTCCTAAATATATGGATTTCTAGAATTATAGAGCTATAAGTAATAGTTGAAAAATTACTGTTGGTAGCAATACCATAAAGTATACAAAGAAATGAATGTTAGTGGTCAGTTAGAATTCTAATAAATTTAGAATAATTATAAAACTTTATATACTTTTAAATGTAGTTTGACCATATTTAAGAATGTATTTATTTTAAATTTTTTTAAAGATTTATTTATTTATGCATACAAGAGCTGGGGTGTAGGCCAGAGGTGTAGGGGGTGAGAGGATTCACCAGAGACAGAGTGGGGAGCAGAACAGGCAGATACACTGAAATACACTGCTGAGGGGAGCAGCAGGGGAGAGAGGAGAGGTCTGTTGTGTCATGTGGGTCACCTTTTGTCTGGGGATCAAACTCCAGCTTCATTGACTGCAGATTGCTTCATAGTGCTGAGACTTAACCCCTTTGCCACCAGGGAGGCCCATATTTAAGAATTTAAATAACAAATTTATTAACAAAATTACATGGAACATCTAAAATTTAGCATTAAATACAGTACTATAAAATATAGTATTGTCCACATTATAATATCTGTGAGAGTGAGAGAGGCTACGAATAACAATTAAATGGGCACAACCTGAATATATGATCACCCAAGCCTAAATCACTCACAGTCACTCATTATCAAAGACTAACTTTTGTTTCAAAGAACACCATCAGGAAAGAGAATTACCACCTACAGGATGGGATAAAATATTTGCAAATCATATATGATAAAGGATTTATATCCAGAGTACATTAAGATCTTCTAAAAACAGTAAAAGAGATAAAGGCAATAAAAGACAAAAAATTAAAAATGAGCTAAGTATATCAATAGACATTTCTCCAAAGAAAACACAAAAAATGGCCCCAAATTACAGGAGAGCTCAAAATTCATCAGAGAAATACAAATCAAAATCTCCACAAGATACTACTTACACCCATTAGGGCAGCTTCTATTAAAAAATAATAATAACAAGTATTGCTAATAACAGAAATTGATACCCTCGTATACTAGAAGGGGGAATAAAACTGGTTTAGATGCTTTGGAAAATGTCCTAGGAGTTTCATAAAAGGTCAAAGAGAGTTACCATAGGACCCAGCACTTCCAGTTCTAAGTAAATACACAACAGAAGTGAATATATATGTTTACACAAAAATGTGTACATGAATTTTCACAAGAATATTAAATATCAAAGAGTGGCACAACCTAAATGCTCATTAACTGATAAATGGACAATCACATGTGGCAAATCCATACAATGGAATATTATTTGGGCCATAGAAAGCAAAGAAGTATTGCTAGATGCCACAATATACGGGAAACTTTGAACCATTATATCAAGTTAAAGAAAAGTTACCAAAAAGCTACATATCATGTGGCTCTATTTATATAACTGTCCAGAATAGGCAATTCCATCAAGACTGAAAGGAGCTAAGTGATTGTTTACGGCTGTGGAGAGTAATGTAATGGGAGGACTGATAGTTAATGGACATAAGTTTTCTTTTGGAAATAATGAAAAAGTCCTAAAAACGATTGTGATGATTGTGCATACACTGAAAACCACAGACTAATGTGGATCAGTGGGTCAGCTTAAAGGGTGACTTGTATGCCATATGAATTAAATCTCAATGAAGCTATTTCAAGAAAAAAATAAGCTGTATACCATCTCTGCCCCTGATTGGCTGTGTAACTTTAGGAACATTAAATAGCTTCTCCAGGACTTAATCTTTCCATTTTTTTAAAAAATGGTGATTATAACAGTTCCTTTGCAAGAATTAAAAATCAACTCAAAGCATTAAGAACAGTTTGTGGTAAAGAGAAAATGTTCCCATTAAGTGTAGATTCCCAGTCGGTTGTCTTTCTCATGACCTTGCTCTCTGATGATCATTATAACTATTTGAAAGCTTTGGTTGTTGCACATTCGATGATCTATTCCATGATCTAAAGATCTATTCTATGATCTTCTTTTATTTATTTATAGATTTATTTATTTATACATACAAGAACTGGGGTACAGGCCAGAGTTGTGGGTGGGTGAGAAGATTCACCAGTGACAGAGCAGGGAACAGAACAGGCAGACTGACTGAAATACACTGCTGAGGGGAGCAGTGGGGAGACAGGAGATGTCTGCTGTGCCAGGTAGGTCAGCTCCCTGTCTGGGATCAAACTCAGGCCTTTGTGGTGGTGGCCCTGAGACTTTAACCCCTGCACCACCAGGGAGGCTCCTTAATATCCAGTTTATTTTTTTTTAAAAGATTTATTTATTTATGCACACAAGAACTGGGATGTAGACCAGAGTTGGGGAGTGAGAGGATTCACCAGACACAGAGTATGGAGCAGAACAGGCAGACTGTCTGAAATACACTGCTGAGGGGAGCAGCGGGCAAGTCAGGAGAGGTCTGCTGCGCCATGTGGGTATCTCCCTGGCTGGGTATCGAACTCATGCTGCAGTGGCTGCGACGAGCTTCATAGATTGCGCCTTAACCCGTTGAGCCACCAGGGAGGCCCTCTATGATTTTCTTTTAAAAGGCTGTGGGAGTAGTCCCAGCTGTTTATCTTTGCCTTCACTATCACTGCTTTGGGTGATGTGTCTGTAAAGATGTCTTTGATGTGCAAATCACGTAGTGTTTCGCTTATATTTCCTTCTAAATATTTTATGGTTTCAGGTCTTATGTCTAGTTCTTTAATCCATTTTGAGTTGATTTTTGTGTATGGTCAAATTAAAGAGCTTCTGCACAGCAAAAGAGACAATAACAAAAACAAAGAGAAACCCCACCAACTGGGAGAACATTTTGGCACCCAACACTAATGATAAAGGACTGATCACAAAAATCTGCAAAGACCTGATGAGACTCAACAACAACAAAGAAAATTATCCAGTCAAAAAATGGGCAGAAGAGCTAAAAAGAAACTTCTCTGAAGAGGAAATGCAAATGGTCAACAGGCATATGAAAAAATGTTCAACATCACTTGTCATCAGGGAAATGCAAATCAAAACTACCATGAGATACCATCTTACACCAGTGAGAATGGCACATATTAAAAAAACTAGCAACAACAAATGTTGGCGAGGGTGTGGAGAAAAAGGAACTCTTCTGCACTGTTGGTGGGAGTGCAAACTGGTCCAACCACTGTGGAGAGCTGTGTGGAGATTTCTGGACCTACTAAACATAGAGCTTCCATATGATCCAGCAATTCCACTCCTAGGTATTTACCCAAAGGTCACAGAAACATCAATTCCAAATAACACCTGCACCCCTATGTTTATAGCAGCACTGTTTACAATAGCTAAGCTTTGGAAACAACCCAAATGCCCAAAAATAGATGACTGGATCAAGAAGATGTGGTACATATATACCATGGAATATTACTCAGCATTCAAAAAAGATAAACACATGCAATTTGCAGCAACATGGATGGCGCTGGAAGGGATCATGCTCAGCGAAATAAGCCAGAAAGAAAAAGAAAAATACCGGATGGTCTCACTCATAGCAGGAATCTAGAAAACTTAAATAAGGGACCAGGAAAATGAATAACTATAAGAAAGTGAAAATCAAAATCAACAAAAAACTATGAACCAGAGACACTTTTAGGGGGGCAGGGGCGGGAGGGGAGGGATTGGGGTCAGAATGGGGGGGGCTGCAATTGTATGGGGAATATAAAAATAAAATTTATTATTTAAAAAAAAATAAAAAAAACACAAAAAAAATTAAAAAAAAAATAAAAGTCTGTGGGAGAATGGCGGGCGGGGAACGTTTCTGAAAGCTCAAGCTTGTCCATTCCAATCTCCATTCCATTTCTACTTTCAAAAACGAACGCCTTTAAGTTTGACCCTCTAGGGCTCCCATCCTTTTCCTCAGCACGCAGGCGCGGAAGCCAGGTGCCCTTTCCTTTCGGCCTTTATAATTGATCATGGCGGCTCGCGGCATGGGGCTGTTGACCCGCCTGCCCCTGTGTCCTCAGCTAGGCCACGTCCAGCGGCCTATTCACAGGTTTCTTTGCTCCCCGGGAACTGCGGCCGCAGACGTCAGTAGAGAAGAGCAGGGGATCGTGGAGACAGGTGATGGCGCCGTGCCCTCGGTTTGCTCGGTAGCCTCAGTCCACCGCGGGCGAGGGAAGGGGAAAGAGACTGGGATCGCGGGCCAAGGAGTGGCCTGTGGATACGGCCCTGCAACCTTTGCAATAGGGTGAGGCTGTGTGCCGTCCTCCTTTGCTCTCACTAGGGCATCCAGGGGCGCCGCTGTTGCTAAGTGCTGCTGGTGGTGGTGGGTTGGGGTGTGGGGTGTGTCTGGCGTTTCTTTGGGGCGCTGTTGAGGTGCCCAATCATGAAGTTGTAGTGGTACACATTAGTTCAGCGTTTATATAAGTATTTGATTTTGATGTGTACAAGTTGTCGATGGAGGAGGCCTGATGGAGTGAAGCCTTGATGAGTAACCAGGATTCCCGCCTCCCAAGCAGGGGGCTGTGCCTGTGAAATTTACGGCCGTCTGCTTTATTCTTTTTGCCTTTTCTAGCAAAACCAACCTGGTAACAGATATGCATCAATTGCTACAGGCTCTTGTCTCACACCCTTTCTGAGTTTATATGCTTTGTGTATTGAGAAATCCGTTATCGAACCTTTCTTGTAACCTAAAAGCTTCCTAGTGTGTATGTTATTTACAGTTTTTGAAAACAGTCCAGCCAGAAGTGTATCGTTATGTCCATTTTGCTGATGTAGAAAGAGATTCAAAGAACTAAACTTGTGCGAGGTGACGGAACAGCTAATGTAGACCCCCAGGCAAGTTTGTTAAACAAAATGTGTTGATTTTTACCCTTTCTTGCTGTTAGTGTTAAGAGATGAAAGTATTTCTGGAAATAGTTCTAAAGGAGGCTAAACAAGTAAAATATTTCCCCCTGAAATAAATGATAAAAGTGCTTTCCTCATCACATTGCCTAAGTTTTCATTTTTGATATCATACACATATTAATAGGGAGTGAGAAATGTCACTAAATATGACATTTCTTCAAATACTGTTTGGATTGTTGTAGTATAAGCTGCCTCTGTTTAAAAAAAAAAAATCTCAAATAACCCTGACAATTTGAGTAATTTTGACAGTATTTTCATATGCTCTTTGAAGACTAAAACGCTAAAACAATTAAAGGAATTATTTTAACTTCCTTTTATAGAAACAGGCTAATCAAAGTGATTAGTTCAAATTTCCCTAGCTATTCAATAGCAAAGATCAGAATAAAACCTTTTGATTCCAAGGTTATACAATTCATTTACTACTGTTTGTGTCTTAGGAAATGTTTCATTTGTTATCATTAGGGTAAGATTACTGACTAAATAGTCAGAAACTACTGTGTGGCATAACAAGCAACAAAATCCTTGCTTGAATTTCTTTTCTATTTTTAAAGAGAGAAGGTAAGTATACCTGTGTGCTCTTAAAAGCATATACTTTTATAGTTGAAAGGAACTGGGGAAATATCCATGTTTTTCCTTAGTATGAGAACTCATTGCCAAAACATACCTTGTAACATTTTCTAGAAATAGACTTTTTCATAAATCAGCCTATTCCATTTTTGGCCTTACTCTAATGGTTGGAAAATGTTTATAATGAGCAAAAATGTACTAATTTTTTTTTTATATTGGTCTTTTGACATAGCTTTCATGTGAGTAATGGAAAGAGCTCTGATTTAACAATATGTAGTGTTTATTCTGGGTGCTTCTAGATACAGGTGATAGAAACTAACTCATATGGAAGGTATACCCACCCATATAAACAAACTTCAGAAGGAGATAGAGCTGCTTGAGAGTCAAGTAGATGGATGTGCTCATTGGAAGATATTTTCTTCAGCTTTTATTTGGTGGCTCATTATCTCAGATTCTTCTGGATAGGGATGTTGATATGGGGCAACATAACTACCATCATCTTTTTGTTCACATGCTTGTAGTCTTCTCTAGAGGGAAGAATAAAATCTTTTACCCAGGTTTGAAAAACTCTAATAAATATCTTTTGCTTGATCACATGAAAGAGAAGTTATCCAAAATTGTCTGATATCCCTTTCTATTTAATGGAGCTTAAGTATGGTGCCTTGGATAAGTACCTGTTTTGACAGCCCCAGAACAACCACTTTGAGTGATTTCTTTACCAGGTGTTTGTTGGTTCCAGAACAAGGGGGAACAGATGCCAGGCAGACAAACAACACTTAAGGTTTACATTTGGCTACCCAGCTTATTACTAGATGTCTGACTTAGTGCAATTTTTTTTTTTTTGTTAAATCAGTAATGATACCGGCCCTATCTCAAAAGGTTATTGTGTGATTCAGAAGAGAGTATATTTGTGGAGGTACTTGGAAAACTGTAAAGTGTTGCACAATGGAAGATTCTCTATTGTTTTTGAAGACTGAGTTATCATTAGTGTTTTCCCAGGCTGTAAATCCCTACTTTATCTAAATTCTAAATGTAGGATAGCATTTAGTCTTAATTTTTATATTAGTGTATGCATACCATGAGTTACATTCTTTCATATCTATTGAAGTAATAACAAATGTGGAAGAAATTCTTCTGTGAAGAGTCAGAAGTCTCCACAGACCTGAGCAAAATTGAAAGGATGAGTGGTGTTCTGTCAGACAGAAAAATGAAAACATTGAGAGTGCCTAGTTTATGTGATAGTATTGTGTGTACAGAGGATCATAAGTGAACCGTGAGGAAGGAGGAAATTGTAAAAGTTGACATTGAAGAAGATGGGACAAAGGTGCCAATAACCATATTCATGCTGTGTAGTTTAGACTTGATTTTGAATGTAGTAAGGATGCTACTAAAGGTTTCAGGCAGGGAAGCCATTAAGTCCTTAATAGAAATATTAAATTAGAAATATTTTATAAAGATCACTTTGTTAACAATGTGGAGAGTGACTTGAGGAGGGTGACGCTAGAGTGAATGAGAACTATTTAGGAATCAGACCATTGTGATATAGGCCTGAAGTAAGAGATTGAGGTTGAAGAATTGGTATCTGGAATGGAGATGAAGATAGGTGGTTAAGAGATGTGTTTTTAATATCAAGTAGGAAAGATACTCAGTGTTTCATCAGTTGTTGAATATGTGGAATAGGTCAGAGCCAAGTGTTCTCTTGTATGCCATTTGACTTGTTGATGTAAATGAATAGTGATTAGTGTAATTAACCCACATTTCTCTGTCCTATTCATTAGAATGTCTTGAAGTTTGCAAAAACTAAAGTACAGTGTGCTTGCTGTGTTTTCTTTTTCTTTTCTTTTTTTTTAAAAGATTTATTTATTTATATAAGAACCAGGGTACAGGCCAGATGCGTAGGAGGGTGAGAGAATTTACCAGAGACAGAGCAGGGAAAAGAACAGGCAGACTGACGAAATACACTGCTGAGGGGAGCAGCAGGCAAGACAGGAGAGGTCTGCTGCGCCATGTGGGATTCTCGCTGGCGCTGGGATTGAACCCGCACTGCAGAGGCTGCAGACAGCTTCAGTGCAGCGCTCAACTGCCTGTGCCACCAGGGAGGCCCCTGCTGTGTTTTCTTTATCCATCAATTTTATAACTTTTTGGAAAAAAAAAATAAGAATTTAATCTCTTTGAAATTTGTTGAGGTTTTGTTATCAGACATGGTGGTTTATAATTTCTAGGATCTGCCATCCCAGACTTCTAGAGGAAACACTTTAAGCCACTCAGCTAGAACTTAAATATGTTGGAGGGGAAAAAAAGGTTGCTAAATTCAGTGTTTGGCTCTTTGAACTTGAATCCTTTTTTTACACTATACTTATTTCACTTGTTGATTTTTTTTTTTTTGTGGCCAGTGGATTATTAATATTTCATTTTTGACTATCACAGTCCTTGTCGTAATTTCTTATGATTGTAAAACTACGACCGTGAAATAGTTTTTAAATGCAGGAAAAATACCCTCTATTTCTTTAGTAAAATTATCGTGAGCTCTTTATGAGCAACAACTAGGTTTTAAATTCTTTGATTTCCCTGTGACACAGAACACACGATAGTTGGTAGTTCATTCTTAGTTGTTTGAGCCAGATTATGACCCTTGACAAAAGGAAACCATAGCTTACATTAGTACATTAAACTTGTAAATTCATCTCATTACATTCAGGAATGTAATAATTTCTTTTGGACTTTGGAGTGTTACAATTTACACATATTTTGTGTATGCGTATAAAATAAGTGATTTACTTTCCTGGTTTTGCTTTTCAAATATTGTTGCACTCTTTTCAGGACTGTTCAGTGAATGTTTTAAATCAAACAGACGTGGAGAAATTTTTATGATAGTCACAGGAGAATGTTAAAATGAAAATTGAGAGTTGTATAGCTTCATCTTTAATAAGGAAGAGAAGAAAAGGCGGAATTAAGCTGAAGTTGATTTTCATCAGCTATAAAATCTTTACATACCTTACCAAAATAGGGTTTACATTTTGTGTGTGTGGGTGTTGAAAATATTTTTGTCTCATTCATAGGCTCTGAAGACAGGACCCCCTCAAGGAGATTCTCTGAGGTTCAAAAACAAAGACAAGAACAAGCACAGAGGACTGTTTTAATTCATTGCCCAAATAAAATCAGTGAAAAGAAGTTCCTCAAATATTTATCCCAACATGGAACTATTAATAATCATTTCTTCTATGAAAGCTTTGTAAGTATTTGAAAAAGCAATCTAATTTCACACTTTTGAAGGATAGAGGTCCCATGAGTTATTTTTTCCTCTGTTGCTTTTGGTTAGATTCTCTCTTGATAGCCTACATTTTTCTTGTCATTTCTTTAACAAAGTTTTTTTTTTTTTTAATATGAGAATAAAAATCCTTACAGGAGTATTACAGAATTAGAAGCAATTTATAATTGAATGATTCCATTATTTGAATACTGCAAATAGTTCGGTTATCTTAAAGAGAAAGGCCAATGAGAGGGAATCTTTGTTTTGCCTTTAATTTTCTTTTTTTGGGATTCTTTGGAGCTTTTCTTGACTGATATCACTTTATAGTATTTAACATTTTAATCTGCTTTTAATAATTAAAACCAATTTATGTTAAAGCACATCATTTGTAAATTTAAAAATTAATAATGATAATTGCTTTGAAATAGGTACTAAAATACTATGATAAGTATGGCACTTTGAAATATGTTCTTTTTCTTATGTTTTTGGCATAGGGTCTTTATGCTGTTGTAGAATTTTGTCAAAAGGAAAGTGTAGCTTCACTGCAGAATGTAGCTCGTACTCCAAGCATGGGCACAGAGGCCACAATTCCATTCAGATCACGTTTCTTCAATTTAAAGTTGAAGAATTCAACACACCAGACTGATGAACAGTCAAGTATACAATGCAGTAATCAGTCTCCTCCTTCAAGCAAGAAGCTTTTTGAATTACTTTGTTGTGCAGAAAGTGTAAGTTTATAGGTATACTTTTCTCATCTTTCAAAAATGTGTGTATGTATATATGACATTATTCTATATATTATGAAAACCTCAAACCACTGAATATGTTGGGTGAAAATGAAAGTAATCCTACCCTAATTACTTGCCCCCATACCCCATTTGTACACCTCAGAGGTAATTATATCTTCTGCTTTGAGAGGGGGTTGGCTTTGGACTATTCAGGTTTTCTTTCTGTTGTCAACAGAATGACATGCAATTGATCATGGCATTCTGTAAATTTTAAAATAATCTTGTTTTAAAATTTGCCTCTGCTCAATATTGTTTATATTTGTTTTAATTTTTCTTACTCAGATTTGTCAAAGATTTTTAACTAATTTGGTGGTCCTTTCAAAGAATTAGTTCAAGGTTTTATTTATCACAATGCTATTTTTTTGGTTTGATTTTTGTAATTGTTTAAACTTTGCTTCTAATGTTACATATCTTAAAATTTTTTCTTGAGTTGAATGGTTCAATTATTTTCAATATTGTTTATCAATAAGGAGTATTGTTTTTAAATCATTTGAGGGTAGGATTTTTATTTTAAATACTCCAGTACACAGTTTCAAAATGTGATCATTTAAATACCAGTCTTGTAGTGAATATATAGGATTGTTATTCTAAGGAACTGAGGGAACTTTGGTCTTCAGTACTTGAAACATTGCTTTTTTCTGCTGTTTTTTGCCTTTAATACTGGTTCTACCCTCCTCTCAACTTAGTTTGAAATGCCTAGGTTTGTGCTTGTTTTTCACCATCTCTTCTGGAGTATTTTACTATTTTCATTCCCTAAAACAATGCTTTGAAATCATTGCTTAAGAAAACTAATCATTTCAGTTCTAGTCAACTCTATTTTGCTAGTATCATCATTCCTCCGTGTTTTTTTTTTTTTTATAATTTTTTTTTAATCTTTTTTTTTCTTTTTTTAGATTTATTTATTTATTTATACAAGCACTGGGTACAGTCAGAAGCGCGGGAGGGTGAGAGAATTCACCAGAGCGGGGAGCAGAGCAGGCAGAGGGACCGAAGCACACTGCTGAGGGGAGCAGCGGGCGGCAGGAGAGGTCTGTGCGCCATGTGGGACCCTCCTCCGGTGGCCGGGGAGCAGCTGGGGATTGAACCGGCGCTGCAGAGGCTGCGGGCAGCTTCACAACCCAGCGCTCAACCGCTGTGCCTCCGGGGAGGCCCATTCCCCAGTGTTTTTTAAAGGGCATTTAAAAAAAATCTACTTCTAAGACTGAAGGGGAAAAAATAAATCTTTTGACGGAGGTTGCCAAAGCCATCATATCTCTAGAAGTAAGATAATTATGTTATATGACCTGTACATTTCCTGTATTTTGTGATTTTTGTTTTGGTCAGCTAGATAGATGATCAGCTGAGCACTCTTTTGAAGGAATTCCAGCTAACAGAGGAGAACACCAGGCTTCGATACCTCACCTGTTCTCTTATTGAAGATTTAGCAGCTGCGTATTTTCCAGACTGTGCAATCAAACCCTTTGGCTCTTCAGTGAATAGTTTTGGGAAATTAGGATGTGATTTGGATATGTTTTTGGATCTAGAAGAACCTGGAAAATTAAATACTCCCAAGGTAAATTATATTTCTTTATATCACTAAAGTTACCAGAAAAGTAAAGGACATCTTTGGTCTTAAGAAAATGATAGTTGTCGATTCCTAAATTTGGCAAACATTGTGAAAAGTCTATTTGAGATTGGTTATTTAGAATTGTGAAGTCTTTCTTTGTGTTGGCCTAACAAATGATCATTTTTTGATATGTGAATATTCTTTATGTACACAGTAAAATGGTTGATCTTTTCAAGATTTCAGAAGATTTTTGGTTAGGTCAGGGTTATTCAATTGTTTTATTCAAATTATTTATCTTAACTAATTTTTTAATCGGCATGTTCTAGTTACTGAAATATTTAAAAATCTAAATGATTTTGCTGATTTCTTCTTGAAATTCTTCTGATTTTTGTTTTAGTATTTAAAGGTTGTGTTTGCTATACATAGGTATATAGATAAATACTTGTTAACTCTTCATTTGGGCTTTTCATTTGTCATTAAATTATGTTCTTCCTCTGTAAATGCTTTTCCTTAAATGTTTTCTAAAAGATGACCACTTGCTGTATTTAATCCTTCCTTTTACTTCTTGGCACTTTGTTGGTCTCTCTTAATACTCCACCTTGATTTACAAATTCTCTGTGTGCTTGTTCAGCAGTGTGAGTTGAGGGCAGTTGAGAAAAATGTGGTCATCTCTGATGTGTTCTATAATACCACATAGAATATCCTGCGTACCAGATGACTTCCTAAGTTATTTACTAACTAAAGCAATGAATTTTCGTGATATTTTTAATGTCTGAAAGATACTTCTATATGAAATATATCTCCTGATTTACTGCAAATATCATTCTAACACAAAATCCTAAGCTAAGATCTGCCTTTGGTCTTTCATTTAGTTTTTTTTTTCTAATAGAGTTCTTTACTGTAGAGGATTTAGGTAACAGTAGTAAAACTTGGTGACTGACTCGTATGTCCTATTTTCAGTTATCTAAATTATTGGTTGATTTCTATTTTATCTTTATTAGAGGGCAAGGTTCTTACCTTCTGTGTTGTCTCTGTTTGCTACTGGCTTAACACTAGAATAATTAGGAAGAATATGCAATAATATTTTAAAAAATTTACCTGAAACTAGTGCAATAGGAATAGCAACACTAATAAATGTCGATTTGGCTATCTACGAAGAATTGTTACTTATTTGATAAAGAGAAGTAAATTTTGAGAGTCTTACTTTTGCTCATCATAGATAGTGTTTTTCATCATCTGCTGCTTCCATAATTACAGGGTCTTATTTCTGTATAAAATGTGTTTATCTAATTATCTCATGTGGTTCCTGCACTGTATGTCAGCCAGATTGTGCTAGATGATGCTTTGGTAATAAATAAGTCCCAGATTTCAATGGCTTAACATAGTTTATCTCTTGCCGAAGCCGTATGTTCAAGGTGGTCAGCAGAGACACTGTAGATACTATATCTTTCAAACACCCAGGCTAACCAAGGCTTCATTTCCACTTGTGCTTCTGCTATCACGGAGGCACTGGAAAGACAGAGTGAAGAATTGAATGCCAGTTCCTTAGCTTCTGCCTAGGAATGACTCCTAAAGCCTTTGCTCACATTTCACTGGTCAGAGCAAGTGACATGTAAATGTGTATGTGTTTGTATTTTAAAAACTTATGTAAATGTGTATGTGTTTGTATTTTAAAATAGAGGGACTAGGAAACCAAAAGTTATAAAGGTATTGTAACAAAGACGCTAAGCCAGATTTGGAAATTTTAGTGTTTTTAAGGAAATCCGTTATTATTCCCTTTAAAATAAAATTATCCATTTTTATTCCTTTTAATGTAAAATATTCTGTCTAGATGACAGAAATCAGTAGGCAAAAACATGTTTATTTATTTGGGGCATTGTTTGTATGCATGTCATATTTGTATATTTTTATTTATCCTGATTATAAATCTGCTTATACAGTCAATCTTCTATTGATGTGTACTATTTTTGTTTCTGTACTCCGTATTATGACTATTGTGGGTTTATAGCATTTATTACAGTATACTAGGGAAGAGCAGATGTGTGTTCCATAAATTTATAGATGCAGTGGTTTTACATATACTGCTAATTTATGATACATATTGTGGCATATGCTTTAATTATAAAAAGTCAAAGATTTTTATAAGTTAGCATTTTATATTCTGGAGGAAAAAAAGACAAGGACTTTTCAGTCTGTTTTTACCTGTGATTGAATAAAGAATTTTTATTTTCTGGTGTTTTGTTTTTGCCAGAAATTATTTAGAGCATTCTTTTAGAAATGTTTAAGAAATTCTTTGCTATGTAAAACTTCTATTTACTTGTAAAACTTACGTTTTTATTATTCAGACCTCAGGAAATTTTCTGATGGAATTTCAAGTGAAAAATGTTCCTTCGGACAGAATTGCAACCCAGAAGATCTTGTCTGTGATAGGAGAATGCCTTGACCACTTTGGCCCTGGTTGCGTGGGTGTACAAAAAATATTAAATGCTCGGTGTCCACTTGTGAGGTTCTCACACCAAGCCTCTGGATTTCAGTGTGATTTGACGACTAATAATAGGTATGGTCTCTTAAATTTATCATGTTAAATGTGAATATTATAGGATATTGACATAGTTTGTCTTGTACATATACAATGGCTTTGGCTCTTAAGACATGCTTAAAAATACCTTTTTAACAATTTGAACACTTGGATTAAAAAATAGGAACTATCTTTTGTTTTATTATGCCTGTTGGGTTTTTGATCTTCCTAAATAAAATGATAGGATTTTATGTTGAAATGTTAATCTTCTTAACTAATATCATCTAAGAAGAACTGTATTTTTTTTGTTCTTCCTTATATAGCCTGATAACAATGAAAATACCTATTTATGGTATAAGTCTTATGAGTATTCTTAGAAGGTGAGAAGAGCAACTTGAGTATGACCTCTGATCTCCAAATAGTCAACTTTGTGTACTGAACATGCAGTCTTTGCTTAGGTTAGAAAAATGTTTGCTTTAAAAAAAAAAAAAGGGTAAGGGCCTCCCCAGTGGCGCAGTGGTTAAGCACTGGGTTGTGAAGCTGCAGCACTGGTTCAATCCCCGGCTGCTCCCCGGTCACCGGAGGAGGGTCCCACATGGCACGCAGATCTCTCCTGCCGCCCGCTGCTCCCCTCAGCAGTGTACTTCGGTCCTTCTGCTTGCTCTGCTCCCCGCTCTGGCTCTGGTGAATTCTCTCACCCTCCTGCGCTTCTGACTGTACCCAGTGCTTGTATAAACAAATAAACAAACAAACAAACAAATAAATAAATAAATCTTTTTAAAAAAGGGTAAAAATAACAAGTTCTTTCATAACTCTGATACTTTTCTTTGGTTCGCAAGAAAATTCTCAAGAGGAAATGTTTTCCAGTTGAGTTTATTTCTTAACTAGTAATCTTGTGTGCATTTGATTTCACCGTATTATCTGTTAGATAACTATTAAGTAAAAATAGATCGATCCAGAAATCCAGTTTAGAGCAGTTTTGATTAAATTCATGTGTTCATTAACAAGTCAGTTCTAAGTATTGCTGAATTTCTTTCGTTGTATTAAAATAAATGAAAACATGTAAATGCTTTATCGTTAAATATATTTTCTATTTAGTATGCAAAATAGGACACAGTAACTTTTTCTCAATATTTCAATTTGGCTTTGGGGCAGGTTTTTGCTTCTAAAATTCATTTTCTTATATTGCTGTACATTGTTAATTTTTTACATCATATATGATTGTTAATTTTGGACTGTATTTGATTTCTCTCCTCAGCTTTAGTCCCCGTAATTCTCCCAACACCACAGCACCCATGATCCATCATCATAGTCCCTTGTGCTCTTTCCCCCATGTCTGACCCCCTTCTCTTGCCCTCCCTTGCTGTATGCCTCAGATCTAGGTCAGCTTGCCAGTTTTGTTGGGACAGATTTTTAAAAAATGTGTTTTAACTCGCTTTATATTTTTAAACTCTTGTAGTGTTTCTGTATATCAGCTGCCTTACACAATTTGGGTACCATGTGTTTCTAATTTATCATTTCTTGTATTCTTTTTAAATTCAAGAAGTGAATGCCATGGTGGGACTATATAGACATTTGAAGATGATACTGTTAGATGACTTTGTGCCCTCTATTGGTTCTTTTAGAAATTACAAAACTTTTGATCAATAGGAATTTAATTTAAAATTTTTTTGGATTACTAATTCTTTGCATTACACCATTATGACTAGAAAATATATTAAAAATAAACTCTAAAGTTTGATTTCTTAATAGGTGCTTGCTCTTCATGGATTTTGGTTTTTATAACTATTAGGCTTAAGTAATTTTGACTGAATTTTAAGACAGTTTATACTGTCTTGATAAAATGAAATGTTTTCCTCTATTCTTAGGCTAATTAACTTCTCCACCAGGACTAGAAAGCCAAGATTAGAAATTCTGATATAAAGCCTCCTTTTTATAAATGCATCTATATTTTTATTGATGTTAGAGAACCTTTTTTTTAGTGATTTTGTATAAGTTTTGATTATTAACCTTTTAAAACATCATTGTTAACATTTTTAAAGGATGTAATGGAAGTATTTAATAGTTAAGCATTCACATTACATTTTATATTATAAATAAGTAGTATTGGTTTTCTGAATATGTTCAGATCTATTAAGATATTTAGATATGTTTCCAGATATGTGCTTTATTCTACTCCTGGATCATAATTCAGAGGTTTGAAAACTTTTTTTTCTTTTTTGAAGTATTGCCTTGAAAAGTTCGGAACTCCTATATATATACGGTGCCCTGGACTCACGAGTGAGAGCCTTGGTGTTCAGTATTCGATGCTGGGCTCGAGCACATTCCTTAACAAGCAGTATTCCTGGAGCTTGGATTACAAATTTCTCCCTTACAATGATGGTCATTTTTTTTCTCCAGAGGAGATCACCCCCTATTCTTCCAACACTAGACTACCTAAAAACCCTAGCAGGTAAGAATAGAAGCAACCTCTCTATTTTCTCTTCCTTATGTTTTGAATCAACATAATTACTATGTGTTGTCAAAATCATGTGTGTTTGTGTAATATTCATCATTTGTCTTCTGTATTTTTAAAGCCCTGTGAATCTAAAATTTAAGTGCTTCTAATTTTTAAATGCCCACCAGGGGTCATGACAGCAGATTTGAGAAGCTGAGGTCTTTAGAATTCCTTCAGTCCTGTCATGTTTGTGTCAGTTTGCAAGCTTGTTAGCAACTGTCAGACAAACTGAAATCTCTCCCCTAGTTAACCAAACCTAAGATGATCTTTTTCAAAATTCCAGTTATAATTTTTGATTGACTCACAACTTCAGATATGGTTTTTCAGTTCTCATTCTATTTCCAGATTTGTATTAGAGATGGTAAAAATTGTTTCATGAAGTTTAAATAACCTAGATGTGTTTTTCAGTTAAAAGTTATAAGTGATCTTAGAATTGTTTTCAAATTAGCATGCAATTTAATTATATTGAAATTTTGATAGACTACTCTAGATACTACAGTGTTATAGTTGTAATTTCTAAATGGAAGATAATTAAAGGGTATGTCAAAATGTATATGTAATATTCTTTTATCTTTTCAGTCTTCTATATAATACTACCAGATAATTCTTTTAAAGGCATATCCTCAAATTTTTCCTGTTTAAAAAACACTGAAAGATTTAATTTCCAATAATAAAATTTCAAGCTGTTTATTTTTGCTTGCTGTTTAAGACCTTTATTTAGTCATACTTAGTTTTCTAGCACCTTCTCCCAGTAGTCATCCTCTTGTCTTCCCAAATTTCAGCCAATACTATGATTGTTCTCATAACTTTTCATCTTAGTTTCTTTGTTTACACTTTTTTCTGCCTGGAGTGTGCCTTCTCTTCTGTAAGCTCTATCTTGTATGCCAACTTCTTTTATTATCTAAATTAGAAGTCATCTCTTCCTTCCTGTTAAAAAATCCCCCCTGGTAAGCTTTTTGAGAGAAAAATCATGGACGGTTTGGAGTTTAGAAGCTAAGAAAGAATAAAGCTATAAAAAGGAGGAAGAACTGAGGCAAACTTATTGTAGAGGCTTGAGTACCCCTAACATTTGAATTGTTCAAATTAAGTTCTCATCTAACAGTGATGCCACTCATGCCAAAGTCAGATCCTTGGTGTTCCTGGCCTACTCTCCTTGCCTCCACTTGCTTCCCCCTAACCCATTTTAACTAACATAGGGATTTTCCAAAATTCATGTCTTTTGAATTCATCCTTCATTAGCTCCTATTATTTTTACAATTTCTGCCCTTTTTTAAAATTAAATGGATATTTGTTCCCATTTATGAGACAAAAAATTAAGTCTGGTGAAATAGCTATTCTACTTTCCCATTAGGAATGTGGATTATGTCTAAAATAAAGAATATGTAATAAGTACCATCCATGGTAATTTTTTTATAATTTTTATTTTAATTTTGCGGTTATAATTTTGTTCTCCATATGTACACACATTCCAGTTACCCTCCACCAAAACACCCATGCCAATATCCCCCTGCCTCTCTCATCCTGTTCCCTCAGGTAATCATTAACTTCTTTGACTTAGTCCAAGATTTATTCCTGCTATATTTTGCCTGTGTATGTTTTTGGTTATTTTATACGTCTACTGGTGAGTGAAATCATCTAATACCTATTTTTCATTTTCTGACTTGTTTTATTTAACATAATCACTGCAAAGTTGATCCATTTTGTTGCAAAGCCAATACTTAATCTTTTTTACATAGTTTTATAATGTTCCATTGGGTATATATTCTATAATTTCTTTTTATGTTCACTTGTTGAAGGGCATTTAGGTTAGTTCTATGACTTGATAATTATGGACAGTGCTGCTGTCTGCATATTAATAGATAAATATTTTTTAAAGATTTATTTATTATAGCTAAATTTTTAAAGATTTATTTATTATTTATGGATAGAAGAACTGGGGTACAGGCCAGAAGTGTGGGAGGTGAGGGAGGGGGTGAGAGGATTCACCAGAGACAGTGTGGGGAACAGAACAGGCAGATCTACAGAAATACACTGCTAAGGGGAGCAGCATGCGAAATAGGAGCGGTCTGCTGCACCATGTGGGTTAGCTCCTTGGCCAGGGATTGAACTCAGGCCATTGCCATGGTAGTGCTGAGTCTTAACCCCTATGCCACCTGGGAGGCCCCCTCGTTAAGTCTTTTCATATTAAAGGTTTCTTGTTTTTAGATAAGTACCTAATAGAGGTATTGCTGGATCATAAGGAATTTCCTTTTTTATTTTTTAAAGAAATCATATTTTTCAAAGAGACTGCACTAACTTGCATTGCCTCTTGCAGTCAATGAGAGTTTCTTTTTCATCACATCCCCACTAACACTTGTTGATTCCATTGTTTTTTATTCTCACAGGGATGAGAATCATTGTGAGCTCATTGTGGTTTGATTTGCATTTCCCATATAATAAGTAATGAACCATTTTTCATCTGACTGTCTTCTTTAGAAAAATATTTAGGTCCTTTGCCCATTTTATGATTGATTTGTTTTTTTGTTGTTGTTCTTGAGGTATATGAGAACTTGTACATTTTGGAGATTACCCCTTGTCAGATGTGTGATGTGCAAATATTTTCTGTACCACAGAGTGAACGGATCGCCAGACGCCAACCACCACTAGGGCACAGCAATCTTTTCTTCCTTTTAGATATAGAATTCAAGCTTTCCGTGATGAAAAATTATCATCAGAAATAAAATTAACAGTCAAACGATTGAAAGAGGGCCTCCCCTGGTGGCGCAGTGGTTGAGCGCTGGGCTGCAAAGCTGCCCGCAGCCTCTGCAGCACCAGTTTGATCCCAGGCTGATGGCGAGGGTCCCACATGACATGCAGACCTCTCCTGCTGTGCCCGCTGCTCCCCTCAGCAGTGTATTTCATCTGCCTGTTCTGCTCCCTGCTCTGTCTCTGGTGGATTCTCTCATCCTCCTGCGCTTCTGACTGTATCCAGTGCTTGTATAAATAAATAAATAAATCTTTAAAAAAAAAAAAAAAAAAAGGTTGAAAGAGAATCCTTAAAAAAGAAATAATGATTGAAGGATATTAAAAGATCAATAGTGGAAATAAATTCTGGAGAAAGCTATGGAAGCAAAATAGATCAAATGGGATATCAAATCAGTGACCTTGAGGATGATAATGCACAATGAATTTAGGTAGAAGAAGAAAGATATGAAGAGAAACAAAATGCAGAAACACTTTTGAGAATTATCTAACTCCATAAGGAAGGGCAATATAAAAATAATGATAGAAGGAGAAGAGAGAGCGAAGTGAGCAGAGAACTCATTTAAATAAATAATAGAGGGGAACTTCCCAAACCTGGAGAAGGAATTAAATATGGAAATAATAATCAAAACAGTATGGTAGTGGGACAAGAAACAGATTACACAGAAGAACAGAATAGAATGGTATTGGGTAGTTTTCCTCCTTTTTCAATTTTCCTTGAAGAGTTTGAGTAGGATAGGTAGTAGGTACTCTTTGAAGTTTTAGTAGAATTCACTGCAGAAAACATCTGGTCCTGGGCTTTTGTTTATAGGGAGACTTATTACTCTCCTTCAGCACTTGTAATTGAGCTGTTTAAGCTGTCTGAGCCCAATTTAGTCATTTCAGTCCATTTATTTTTGGGGTGATAATTGATACATGCTGTTTTACATATATTGATAATACATGTTGTTATATTTTTCTGTTTCTTTTTCCATTCTCTCTGTTCTTTCTGGATGCTTTCCCTAGTGATTCTGTTACTTTCTTTTTTTTTTCATTGGTGGGCTTCAATTCTGGATTTTTTAATTTTTCAAACTCTGTTACTTATGCTTCCTAGTTTTTTAAATTTATTTTTTACATCACTGTTCATTTTTAAACAATATTTGCTCCCCCCACTTCCAGTGTAGTCCCCATAAAATTTCCTTCACCAATGCACCTGTGCACCATCACCACAGTCCCCTGTGCTCCTCCCTCTGCTCCCTCTCCCTCCTCCTCCCCTGCAGGGTGTCTCTGATTTATAATTGTCTGTTTTTCTTTTGTTGTGTTTTGTATTGTTATTTTTTTACACTTATGTCTTAATTGGTTCCCCTATATTCCTCCTGTAAGTGAAACCATCCAATATTTTTCTTTTTCCTCTGACTTATTTCACTGAGCATAATTCCTTCTAGCTCCATCCGTGTTGCTGCGAATGGCATGAGTTTATCTTTTTTGATTGCTGAGTAATATTCCTGTGTGTGTGTGTGTGTGTGTGTGTGTGTGTGTGTGTGTGGCACACACACATATATACACATATACCATATCTTGATCCAGTCATCTATTTTCAGGCATTTGGGTTAAACCTGGAAACAACCCATATACTTCCTAAGTTTAATCTGTGGCCCCATACTAATGTACATGGCTCAAAATAAAAACAGTGAAAATAATTTTGAATATTCTGATTAATCAGCTGACTGACTTGAGTGTTACTATACAATCATTTGTACAATCATTTTCTTCTAGTCTCATTTGATAATACATATAAAGGCTATTGATTTATATATTTTCAGAGAAAATTATTCATTTGTTGCTTGTTTCTTTATTAGTTAAAGGCAGTATGAATTCCTGGAATACCATCCAGCTCTACTAGGAGTTTGTAAACTATTTTATGAACCTAGAATTAGTTCTGAACATTTTAGCATTATGCTTGGGGCTCTTTGTGATTTTCCTTTTGTTTCTCTTACTTTCATTCTGTCCTGTATGCAGATGAGGAGCTTTAACACTCTTAACTCCTTGATGGTCCTCACATTCTTGTGCCTTTGCCTGAAACCACCACCTTCTTCCTCCCTCTTTTCACACGAAACACTTCTTAATAAGAAGCTGGGGAAAAAAGAAAACCACCCCAGTTGAACATCTCATTTGTTAGATCTTTCTTTGCTGTTAGATCTTTCTTGAGCTCTTCTGGGGCAGGCTCTGATTCGTCTTTGCATCTTTCATTCCTAGCATAGTATTAGGTCCATAGTTCAGTTAGTGGATTTCAGCTGGACATTTTAAACTTGTAAGCTGAGCTTGATGGTGACTTTCATGTTTAGATTACTTTTGAATTTTTGTTGCATTGCATTTTATTATAATCTCTACTACTTTCCTGAAAGTACTTTTCCCTGAAAGAACATAAAGTCTCTTATTTTCTTGGGCTTTCCGGTTTCTTTTTTGGCTTTTGTTATCTTTTGTGCTTAGTGCTTTTTTTTTTTTTTTTAAAGATTTATTTATTTATTTATACAAGTACTGGGTACAGTCAGAAGCGCGGGAGGATGAGAGAATTCACCAGAGGCAGAGCAGGGAGACCAGATGAAATTTACTGAAATACACTGCTAAGGGAAGCAGCCGGTGAGACAAGAGAGGTCTGCTGCACCACTGTATGTGGGTTAGCTCCCTAGTGGGGGATCGGACTCAGGCCATAGCAGTGACAGGGCTGAGACAGGGCCACCAGAGAGGCCACCAGAGAGGGCCCGGGGAGAGGGGGTGCGGATAATAATGAATAGGGCAATGCCTTTTGTAGTCCCAGACTTGGGGAGTAGATAGCATGCATGTGCTCGAAATGCAGTCAGATAAGTGCTGATGGAGTGCCAACTTGGAGCTAGGAGTGCGTTCAGGATGAGATGACCTTTGATTAGATTTTTGAAAAGTGGGGATTTGCCTGCATGTTGTACAGTGGAAGGTAGACTAGGCAAGGGATTTCATGGTGGCTATATCATTGTCAATAATTAGGGAAATGATTAACTCTAAAGCTAGAAATACTATTAGAATACTTATACAGAATATGGGTCCATTTGTTGTAGTGAATTACCTGTGGTTTTTTTGAAAACTCTTAGAGCGTACATTTTGCGTTTTGAATGAATTGTTGAAAATAAATGCATTAAAGGAGGGGGTAGGAATGGAAATGGAGCTATAAATCAAATATTATTCATCAGAAGTAGTACAAAGATTTGAATTGGTGAAAGATGGGAACTATCTGCATTTTCATTTATAACTAAAAAAACTTAGTACTTCAAAAGATAAATTATGAATCATTTGTTGTAGACAATTCTGGTATGCTAAAGTAAATGTAATATCAATTCTTTTTTAAAATTTTTTATTTATATATTTTTAAAAATTTATTTATGCATGCAAGAATGGGGTTACAGGCCAGAGATGTGGGGAGGGGGGTGAAAGGATTCACCAGAGACAGAGTGAGGAATAGAACAGGCAGAATGACTGAAATACACTGCTGAGGGGAGCAGCAGGTGAGACAGGAGAGGTCTGCTGCGCCATGTGGGTTGCTTCCTGGGCAGGAATCGAACCTGTGCTGCAATGGCTGTGGTTAGCTTCATAGGTTGTGTCTTAACCCCTTGCGCCACCAGGAGGGCCCCAATATCAATTCTTTTTTTTAATGTCGTTTTTAATGCTGTTAACTGCAAGTATATATAATATTAATAATGGGACACATTGATCTAATAACTGATTTATCTAATTATAGATTTTTTGAAGTAGGGAATATGTTTGAAATATAATGTGAGATATTTTTCATTTATGTTTAAGATGCAGAAGATAAATGTATAATAGAAGGCCACAACTGTACATTTACTTGTGACTTGAATAGAATTAAACCTTCCAGAAACACAGAAACGCTAGGTAGGTGGTTTTTTTCATTGTTCCCTTTTTGGGTAGAAATAGACTTTATTCTTACTTTCCTTGTTTTATTTTCTTACAGAATTACTACTAAAAGAATTTTTTGAGTATTTTGGAAATTTTGCTTTCAATAAAAATTCCATAAATATTAGACAGGTAAGTAGTATTTTAGTATTTGGTTATTAGGTATGTGGTCTTCTACTGTATTAATATTTAATTTGTTTAGTTTTAAAACCACTAATATGCTATTGCATTTCACTCCTGCAATAATAGATAGTAGTAAGGAAATTGATTGCTAATGGAACTATATAACTTGACTAGGGATGTCATCTAGGTACATGGAAGAACAAAAGTCAGCTCTTTTAACATCTAATACTGTATCTTTCAAAATGTGGACTATAGTCTGAAAAGTTTCCTGAAAGGCACAATTTTACATATAGATCTTCTTAAATTGGATTTGTGTTCCTGTGGGGAAAATTGAATACATAGTCCCAAAGATAAATTTTAGTAATTCCCTCAATTTGAGCCCTTAGAATTTGTATAGGCAGGTGAATTAGTGATTTTTTCCATCTGAGTAGATGGAGTGCTAGACACTTTTTTCTTAGAAAAAAGTCAAAAACAAAATTTGTTTACAAGCGGGGTGAGGGCGGTGGGATGCTTGAGATAGTTCTCGTTTGGAATAACTCTTTCTAGAATTTGGATGCATAGTTTCAACCCTTATATGATTAGCTTCATAAACTACACACAGATATTCTTTTTGTTGTATTTTAAAGTCTCCTTTATTTTATTCATTCCTAACTTTTATCCTATTCATGGAGCTTTTCTTTTAAAAATAAAAGGCTTAGGGGGAAGGGACATAGAATTCTGGAATGCATCTAGAAGAAAAAGATCACCAAACATGGGAAGTTTATCCTCTTTGTACTCTTAACCCATGGGGCTCAGAGATGACAGACAGACAGGACCCATGCTGGGTGGTGGCATGAGAGAAATTGGGGGGTAAATGGGTGCTGCTCACATTGGAGAATCCTGACCTTTGATTTTAAAATATTTAAGTAATATTTGTGATAGCATTTGAAAGAGGAAATGATTATATAGGCCAATGGATCTCAGCTGTTCATATGGAGTCATTAACCTTTTGTATCTATGAGATGTTGTCTTACCTGGCAGAACCTTAAGTTGGATCTTTAGTAATATAGTAAGAAACTTTTAATGTTTTAAGGTGAGAGATAAATAATCCTTTGTTCCTTCCCTTCCTGATTTTATACTTAGAAAGCATTAATTACTGTTTTTCATTGAAGAATTCTTTTTGTTTCTATTTCCACTGTAATATGTTTTTAGCAAGTCTCAAAAATAAGTGTATCTTTGTCTTATTTTCTTCCATTTTTCTTTTTCATTTTTTTCTTTCCCAGACCTATCTTATTAGATAAGTTAGGTTATTTAAAAAGTGTTTTTATTGACTGACATGCTTAGAGATAGCTCTAAGCAGTGAAATCATCATCCATAGCTCATAAACCTATTTGATATTTCTTTGAAGAATACTCAAACAACTGCAGTGGTAAAAAAGTCAATCAGAAGCTCATACAAAAACGTAACATGCATATACACCCAGACCTTTTAGGAATGAAATTGTTTACTCTGTAAAATTGATGCTGGTATGTTTTTGCTATTTTATTAAATCAAAGTGATCTTACATCTTAACCCTTCATCTATTTTTACTTTTTTTTTTCTTGTAATAATCTATAGGGAAAGGAACAAAACAAGCCTGAATCTTCTCCTCTGCACATTCAGAATCCTTTTGAAACTTCTCTTAATATCAGCAAAAATGTAAGTCAAAGCCAGCTGCAGAAATTTGTAGATTTGGCCAGAGAAAGTGCCTGGATTTTACATCAGGAAGATAAAGATCGTCCTTCCCCATCAAGCAATCAGCCCTGGGGTCTGGCAGCCTTGCTACTACCTTCTATAGCAAATAATATGTCTTTTGCTAAGAAGAAAAAGAAGAAGCCTGCAAGTGAAAGAATTAAAAACTTGTTGGAATCCATAAAAGGTAGTAAAAGTATAGAAAATTCCACACACCCTCATGGGAAAAGAACAGTTAATACTCAAGCTTAATGAGGCTACTTCTTTGCTTTAACTGGTTTTATCCTACTAAGAAGAACTGTTCTGAAACTTTGATATATCTCAATTTTCATCGGATATCACTTTTCACAATCTTATCAGTGGACCTCTTTACCTGGTTCAGAGTTATGGGATATTTTTGATCTCATCAGTGTTATAACCAATGGTAGCTTATTAAAATGGCCTCTGCAAAAAACAAGTAAAAGAAGATTGGAATATACTTTAAATAGATAAACTATCTAGAGTGAACTGTAAAAATCAGTTTTAGAATCAAACCATTATGATATACACATCAGTCCCTGAGTGGAAATCATTTTAAAAGATTTCTGTAAATAACCAGGCAACGAATACAATAAAACTTGAAAATTTGGTAGTGTTCTTTAATATGTATTTTTATATACTTCAAAGAAAGTACTCGTTCACATATTAATTAAAACAGCTTGTTCCTGATTTCCAAAAATGTTAATGTTTTGAGACACTTCAGTCACTACTTCTAGGTTTTGTAAGCTAGAAATATAAAAATATTAGTACATTGTATTTTTAAGTAGTTACATTTTTATTTTCAAAAATAAAACCCTATTTCTACTAAAATCCAATATTCCCAATCTTCTCTCATCTCTTTTGGTAATTCTCTTTTCCCGATAGGAAATAGATACTGAGATATGATTTCCTTTACGTTCCCTGTGGAGTCACTTTCAGTTTAAGGAGCAAATAGCATAGTGCTTGAAAACGCAGACATAAGCCAGACTGTCTTCATGGTAAGTCATTCAGTCTCTCTGGCCCTGGTTGTTTCAGCTCTGAAATGGGGATGATAATAGTGTCTACTTCAACATGTTGTTGTACAGTTAAGTGAAGTGTATGGGAAAGTGCTAGTTCAAGAGTCTGGCACAGGGTACATATAGCCCATTGGTATAATTCCTGGAATTATTACACATATTTAGGGAATTAAAGAATTGACCAAACACATTTTAGGACCAAACACATTTCTTCTTAAAGAAGATCCCTCTTTAGAAAAAAAAAGAGTTCTAGAATGACTTTTCTTCTGCTGTGATTTACCACTTACTACTTCTTCCATTTGCTCTAGGACTATTGTCAGGTGAAAGCAGAATCAGATTATTGTAAGTCATTTCATATTTCTGGAAATTCTTTGGCCTTAAAAGTGTGGCTGTGTTTAATTCCTTACAGCTTACTGGTGGTATAGTAAGGAAAGGCACGTTTGCATGTATAACTTAAACCAATATAGTGACCATCTGCAGATAAGACAACCAAGCAACCAAGCAGGAGCAGCTTGTCCAGGTAGCAGCTCTCCAGAGTTTGACATTCCATTGGCTGATAGCTGTCTGTGTCTCAACTTAGTCTTTCAGGAAACAGAGGAGTAGAACCATCAAAATGTTACAGACAGGAAAAACCATTTCTGGCTGAGGTAATCAGAAAAGGCTTTGTGGAATATGATAGGGTAGGCATTGAAGTGATAGTGGGTAGACAGACGGGCACAGGCACTGTCATTCAGGGGAAAGAGCACAGTGGAAATAGCTTGTTTGGATAACTTGCAAATTATTCAGACTGGCTGAGATTTTGTGTTTTACTCTGATACGCAGCAGAGTCAAGGTTGAGTGAAACTGGAAAGGACTGCCAGTGACAAGAAAATTAAATATATTTTCAGTAGTAAACCATTGAAAGTTTGTGTAAAAGTGAATTCATAAAAATTGAAAACAGTGCTTTTGGGTGATTTATCTATCAAGACAAACTAGTTTTGGATCACTACTCTTTTATTTTTTAACAAATTTTGAGTACTATAGGTCCTGGCATTAAGCTAGTTTAAATTTGGCTATGAAATTTTCCACAAAGTTTCAGAAACTGACTTTCATATACCTCAGTTTTTGTTCTCAATATTTAACAAGGAAGAAAGGTCAGTAATCTCTACGAAATATCTTGTCATGACAGATAGTTTCATGTAAAGTCTTCATAATGAGAAATTCTTTGCAATTTATACTTGGAAAGGAATGAAAAACATGATGAGAAATCACTTTTCACCTTGGTATGATGTTGGAAAATTTATTTTAAATACTTAAAAGACTTATTTTGGTTTCCACTCTGAGTTCAATTACTTGTGGACACATATTCCAAAGAATATAAACATTATAACATTCCTCTGGAATTCCCATGGAGCAACTCCCAGAAAATGTCTATTTTAGATAGCACCTTTAATCTAATTCTGTGATACAGAATATATAAAATCACAAATTATTTAAAAATGCACTATTGGTATTTTAAAGTGTGAATCCTGGTATTCTCTGTATGTGTGTGTGTGTCCACCCATTTTTTTAAGCACTTTGTGGAGTCAAAGCTAGATTAAGGACATAAGTTTTCTGAACTATTTTTATTTTTTTAAAAGACTTATTTATGCGTACAAGAACTGGGGTATAGGCCAGAAGTGCGGGGGATGACAGGATTCACCAGAGACAGAATGGGGAACAGAACAGGTGGATTGACTGAAATACACTGCTGAGGGGAGCAGCAGGCGAGACAGGAGAGGTCTGCTGCGCCATGTGAGTCACCTCCCTGGCCAGCCAGGGATTAAACTTGTGTGGGGCTGTAGTGGCTACATTGGGTATGGATAGCTTCATAGTGCTGGGACTTAGCCCCTTGCGCTACCAGGGAGGCCCTCAAACTTTTTACATCAATACATTACCATTTTGTTAAATAAAGATTTATTTATTTATGCATACAGGAGCTGGGGTACAGGCCAGAGATGCAGGGGATGAGAGGATTCACCAGAGACAGAGTGAGGAACAGAACAGGCAGACTGAGTGAAATACACTGCTAAGGGGAGCAGCGGGTGAGTCAGGAGATCTTCTGCGCCATGTGGGTTGCTCCCTGGCTGGCCGGGCATTGAACTTGTGCTGCAGAGGCTTCGGATTGCTTCATAGTGTGGTGCTTAACCCCTTGCGCCACCAGGGAGGCCCCATTACCGTTCTTTTTTTCACAGAAAGATGCAAACTTTTAGAATGTGGTATGACTTTTTTTTTAAAAGATTTATTTTATGCATAAAAGAGCTGGGTTACAGGCCAGAGGTGTGGGGGGGGGGGGGACGGGTGAGAGGATTCACCAGAGACAGTGTGGGGGAACAGAACAGGCAGATTGACTAAGTACATTGCTGAGGGGAGCAGTGGGTGAGTCAGGAGAGGTCTGCTGTGCCATGTGGGTTGCTCCCTGGCTGCAGGGGGCTTGAACTCGTGCTGCAGAGGCTGTGAACAGCTTCATAGTTTGCGTCTTAACCCCTTGTGCCATCAGGAAGGCCCCATGGTATGATATTTTAATGAGTATCAGAAAGCTGTATATAACGTGGAGCAGTGAATTGTTGCAATATGAAGAATACATAATATGGTAAAATACCACATTTGGAATGGGCCGTGTCTAAATTAATAACGATAAATTACAGGTTGTTATTTTTTTCTATGTTTATTTCGAAGCATGACACAATGAACTTTTCTATAATGGATGTTGTCTAATAAAATGGAGCAAATTAACAAAAAGATTACAGATTAGGTTTGTTTCATATTCTGTGCCACCACAGATCCTTTAACTTGCTAAACTTGTTAGGTACAATGAAATGAAAGTCTTACATTTTGGAAACTTTCCCTATACAGAGTTATGAGTACATAGGTTGCATTAATGCAAATTCGTAATTAGAATTTTAATTTCTCTTTGCTAAGTTTACACATGGGCTGATAGTGCTGTGAAATATCATATTGCCAATTTCAGAACTCAAAAACTGTCTCAAATGATAGTAAAAAATGGGTTATGAAGCTGTTTGATGTCTTATTAAAGACTGAAACTCAAAACCTGATTTTTTTACTCTAATAGTAGTAGTAGTAGTCTATAAATACACAAATCGACACAATGCCCCAGGTGCATCTTGGTTGTTTTTTTTTTTTTAAAGATTTATTTATTTATGTATACAAGAGCTGGGGTACAGGCCAGAGATGCGGGGGCTGAGAGGATTCACCAGAGACAGAGTGGGGAACAGAACAGGCAGACTGACCGAAGTACACCACTGAGGGGAACAGCGGGCGAGTCAGGAGAGGTCTGCTAGCCATGTGGGTTGCTCCTTGGCCAACTGGGGATGGAACTCGTGCTACAGAGGCCACGGATTGCTTTATAGTGCGGTGCTTAACCCCTTTGGCCACCAGGGAGGCTCCTACATCTTGTTTTTTTTCTTTAACAAGTTCGTTCTAGTGATTTAGAAAAGCATTTTGTTAATGATTTATGTGATAATATCCCTTTTCCCCTCCAATTTAATAATAATGAACTCTACAAGTCTATATTAGGTAAAACAAAGATACATTATAGCTGTTTAAATGGACAATAAACAGTAAAAGTGGCCAAGCTAACCAATAATTCTATGAATCTGTTTAGAGAATTTTGAATATAGACAAAAGTAAACTGAAGTATAATGAACTTACATAAATTTCAATGCCTGTTTCAACAATTAACTCATGACAAATTATGTTTACAGCCCCGTCTAGTTATCCCCTTCTCTATTCGGCAACTTCCAGTCATTCTGCCACTTCATCTGTAAATGCAGTATATCATTATCTTCAAAAGATAAGGAGTTTTTTCCTAACACCAACCTCTATCAAACCTAAATGGAACTGACAGTTCTTTAATACTCCATCCAGTTAGTATTCAAGTTTGTCCTGTTGTTTCAAGGATGTCACAATTGTTTTTTCTCAAGCGCATTTGCTTGAATCATGCTCCAATTGTCCTAATATTTGTGATTGGTTGGTCTGTTTCTGAAGTCTCTTGAATCTTTGTTTCTACTTCTTTCTCTCTGCCCACCTTGGATTTTATTGAAGATACTGTGTTGTCTGTCTTATGGAGTTAGCCCACAACATGGATTGTGCTGATTTTGTCAGCACATGTGACTGTGCATTGGAGTCATTCAGCAACACTTAATGACTCTTTCTGTTTTCCATGATGCTGATTTTTCTCCTAATATGCCTAGTTACTGTTATTTTGTATGTTGATATGTGTATTATAAATAATAGATTATTTGAGGGAGGGAGGAGGATGTTAATCTTCCTTCATAATGGCTTTAGTTTTGCTTCTGGAAGATGGATGAGTAGTATACACAGTTCTATATCACCTTAATCTAGAAAGGACTTGAGATTTTGAAGTTAGATTCAATTGCAGATTCTAGTTCATCTTTACCCTGAGTGTAACCCAGTCCAAACCCAGGAATGTGTACCATGGCCCCTTCTTGGTAGGTCCTGAACTGTAGTTTTTGTCCCCAGTTCCTCTGGTCTTTTGAAAGCTCTGCTCATCTTTGAATTGCCTCATCAGCACATGTGCCAAGCGGGAAAACTGCTCTTTATGTTAGGCTCACCTGGAAAGTCTACAGTCCTTTTTCACTCCCTTGTTAGCACGGACGCTTTTCAGCTTCTGCTGTGTTTTGCCCTATTTTTCTGGTTGTTTTCAGCAAGAGTTAGTGTATATTACCTAGTTTGCCATTATGGGAAACTGTTGAGTTCAAACTGTTGATTCCAGCTTCCAATCCCATCCCTATATAACAAATATATTTTGTATATGTATATATTTTATTTTATTTTAAAGATTTATTTATTTATTTGTACCAGTACTGGGTACAGTCAGAAGCGCGGGAGAGTGAGAGAACTCACCAGAACCAGAGCAGGGAACAGAACAGACAGACGGACAAAATACACTGCTGAGGGGAGCAGCGGGTGGCAGGAGAGGTCTGCGCACCAGGTGGGACCCTCGCCCGGTGGCGGGGGATCGAACCTGCGCTGCAGAGGCTGCAGGCAGCTTCGCAGCCCAGCACTCAACCGCTGTGCCACCGGGGAGGCCCATATGTGTATATTTTAATCTCACAGGAATTATGTATAGCATTCATTTGGTTTGCTTCCTTGTAAAGAGCTTTCAGCTGATTTCTCAGTTGCCAGTGTGTGCCTAGGTGGCCTTTGAGCGACTTTACAAACACCTGGCTGGAATGAGTATGTAGTTCACCCACTAAGCAAACAGGGCACTGCAAATGTTTTGTGCTCTGCTTCAGAAATCAGAAATGGCTTGCTTTTATTTCTGGACTGAGAATTCCTCATAGAGGATTTTGTACATACCAATTCAAAGTTTAAATTTATGCCATGTGTGACTAGGAGTGCAAATGCCCATGTGAGAATGGGGAAAATATCCTTCCAACAATACTGAGTACCTCAAACAACTCTAAAATACAGTTTTTCTTCCAGTTTTCCAAAATATTTATCTGGACTGAGACCAAGAATAAAAGATTTAGGCCAATATGCTTTTGAAAATGTTAGAATTTTTAAGACTGTAGAAATTCTCTTTTAAACTTGAAGGATGTGTTATTATCAGCATATCTTATTCATGAATATAGAATTGAGCATATTTTAACATTGGTGAAGTAATTTAGGTGATGCTATATTTCAGTTATTTCTCTAATGCTTGGTTACTTTTTGGCTATATTATCAGTCTATATTTGTTCAGGAAACAGAAGTAGCAGGTAAAAATAGCTGTCTTTGAGTTGGTTTTCAGCTTGTGTTTATAATTTGCTACCAATATTCTAGTAATAGTATTTTTAATAAAATCATTTACAAACTGAAATATTGATGTTTTTATCTTGATTCCTCTAGCCAAAGAAGTACTTTGAAACTTTCCTTGCTGCTTCGGAATGAAAGTTGTATTAAGTAACATTTGAATTTAAATGTGATTTAAAATGTTTCTTAATTCTAAACTCCTTTGTTCCTATTTTCTAAGCAATATTAGCTAATTTGAACTTCTAGATGAAGAAAGATTTACTATTTAATATATGCAGTACTACTAGAGAATAAGTTTTATTTTTATTTTTTTAAATTTTGTATATATTTTACATCATTCTTCCTTTTTGTGCAGTGTGTGCTTTCTCCTCTTAGGTATAGTCACTATAAAATTGCCACCACCAATTCACCCGTGCACCATCATCATAATCCCTTGTGCTCTTCTCTCCCCCGTTTTGATCCCTCTCCTTCCCTGCAGAAGTCTCTGATTTATAGTTGACTGTCAGAGAATAAATATTATTCATAGATTAATTGAGTATGTGCAACATGATTTAGCAGCAAATATTTTAGGTCACTAAATTTAGTTATATAAGTTACAGTCTGTTTTAAGTTCTGTGCAACTAAATCTATTTTGCTTTTTTAAAAAAGTCCATTATACTGGGAAATGTATTTCCCAGGACCATCAAAAGCATATAAAATTACATTTGGGAAAATTTTATAATAGTTTTAGCTTTTCGCAAAAGGATAGTTGCTATTCTCTGATTTTCTTATCTATACTCAAAAACCATAAGAGCACTCTAATATTTGAATCTCCTTGTATCTTTGCTCTGATGCAGAATAAAGGACCTAGTATATATACTTGGTAATCAAGGAGCATCACTTTCCCTTTTCCTCCTCACATTTGTGGCTCATGATTTAAAAAGGATTAAGAAATAAAACTGGAGCCAAGAAAAAATTTATAAGCTCAACTTCCATTTAAATCTTAAACATTTTTTTTTTTTTTTAAAGAAAGATTCAAACTCAGTGCATGGTATGGTAGGTAGAACTTTATGATGGCCTCCAAGATCCAATCCCTCCCCTCCCCTGAGTGTGGTTTCAGACCTGTGAGTAGGATAGAATGGTCACTCCTTTGCATTTAATGGCAAAGGTGATAATTGAATCATTTCTGTGATTCTGTACATGATATAAGACTTGAGCAGACTGGGGAGAGAGATTCTGGCTCACATTGAAGTGCTTTTTACTCATGAATGTAAGCTTCTACACTAGTGAAATAATTTAGGTGTTTCTGTATTATGCATCAGTTATTTCTCTAATGCTTGACTATATGGGTTGATTTTTCAGCCATATTATCAGCCTGTATTTGTTCAGGGCACAGAAAAGTAATGGCTAGGACCTGAGGGTGATTTCTAAGAGCTGGGAACACTCCCTGCCAACAGTTAACAAGAAAGCAGAGACTTCAGTTTTAGTGAAAAGGAGACTGAGATAATAAAT